CACACACACACACACACACACACACACACACACACACACACACACACACACACACACACACACGAGTTACAACATACCAATCATTGCAAATAACATCACACCACTGCACACCTGCACACATGATCCAACTTGCAGATATACCTTAAGATGGTTTGGCTTGATGCATCGCACAAAATAAGGATTACACCTGCCACAGATGGATAAGAATTGATGCAATGATAAATTAATGAAAGTAGATTTTTTAAAAATATATATATTTTAAAGGCTTCTGGAAATCAGCCTGAAGAAAGCTAAAGAAAATCAACTGTTTCAGGAGAGAGCAGCAGAGTATTTAATGGTCCATTACCAGGATGTAAGTTATCAGTGTTAGAATGAATCCTTGTATTTTTTACCTGTTGGAGGCCAATAAAACTGTTGAGATAATCAGTTTAATCTAATGGTACTAAAGGAACAAGGACTTGGCAGAGAATATGTTATTGATAGGGATGATGAAAGAAACTCTTCTAAATCATTAAATTTTTTTGTGAAGAATCTCAGTATTTTGCAGTTTCTCTTCCCAGTTTATATTAAATATTTAGTTTAAATTATTTTGCTTCATCTAGCTGCTTCACATTAAGTTTAAGTGGCAAAGCATTTAGTGAATGAGAGAAGATATTACAACAGTTTTTAGAAAAAAATCCAGCGTGTGGATTTCTAGCTTTGAAAAGTCGAACGAAAGCTTTACTAAAACCTTTCCATCTTGTCCAGAAGCTCTTGCAAACTGCTCTGAAACTTCGCGCTGACGGTGTTGGCCTGGTGACGCCGAGCCGTGCCGCTGCGCTGCAAATTGGAGCGCTGCTGTGACAAAGACTCCGAGTACTTCAAGAAAAGGCTCGAGACCATCTGTGCACAGGACATAATGACGGAGACACGCGGAAAGTAAACACAGAAGACAAAGAGTTCACTTAAAACGAAGAACTTATCCTGACAGAAAACACGTGGACGATGTCGGCAGGAAAAAAAAAGAAGTTATATATTATTAAAAGAGTTTTACATGATAAAAAGGACTGAAGGGATACATTGTAAATGACAACAGGAAGTTTTACTCACCCTGTTCTTGCTCTTAATGAAGAGGTCTAAAACATCCTGACGAACCATGTCAAAGTTCTTATCCAGGAATTTGTGTACCTGCAACACAACATAGTGGAAAAACCAAATACTCATAATGTCAAAGCTTAACAATGTAAAATCATGAGTACTCTGAATAAGTGGAGGATAATGGATGAATGGATGTTTTGTTGATGAGTCTCGGCTACTACCATGTCAAATTTTAGCTCTACAGGGTGTATAAAAAARGAAACCAAAATGAGGTGGCTCACTAAGAGATGTAACAAAACTCACACTGACTCGCATCYTTTTCTTAGAAGTTTTATTCCTTTTGTGCATTCAGGACATTTTCAAAACATGTTTCACTTTCTTCACTGTCCAATGCCTCCCACATGTCCCCCTCTCAACACACAGTTGGCATCGACCATGTTAATTTCATTGACTTTGAAAGTGAGCCACCTCCAAAAAGTGGCCCAAATTTCAACATAATGCTGCTCAGTCGTGCACAACTGGAAAATCATGAATGAAGTATCATCAGAAAGCATTTGTTGTCTACTTTTAGGTAAACTGTGCTTCCTGCTGTAATATGTATAGTTTTGTCACAGTGACAATGTTAAGTTGCTGTAAAGAATTGCTGACWCGTCGCTACTTTTGTTTGCTCAGGTTGATCAGCTGTGGCAACCATCTTTAAGTGGCTTGACTTCCAGACATAACCAGTTGCATATGCACGTCCAGTGATTATTTGCTGAACGTTTTATTAAAATCCATCAAGTAAATGAGATATTTTGCTAACATCCAATGTGAATTCAAATACTGTAGTTAATGACAACATTTTTAACAAAAATTAGAGATAAAGGAGGAGAAGAGCGACAAACAGAAAGAYGATGGAGGAGTACCTGATAAGTAACCTTCCCTGCGTAGTGTTTCAGGGTGAACTCTGGCAGCGGCATCTTTGGCCTGGCGTACAGCGGGTTGTTTCCATGGTGATAGTGGCACTTCTGTAAGAAGGTGTGGTCTGTTGCCTGGTGATAATTTGAGACGGTTAACGGATGGTGCACCATGGAAACCAAACCTCAACAGCACGAAAGCCCCTGTCGTGTGTTTGTGTATGCATGCTGCTTCGGTCGCTCCCTCGTGTGACGCGGCTCTCATTTCACWCTGAGAGCTGGAGACTTCATAATACATTTATCTCAATATGAGCTCCATCCCTTTCTATTAGAAGCCCTGGGAATGATGATAGCAGCAGGTAGGGCTAATTAAGTCAGCATGTATAATAGTTTTTTATTGATCTGAGCATACAGTCCCTTGGATCATGAAAATTCAAGAGTGAAACTTTCTTTTCATAACTCAWTTACTTCCCTAAAAAAATAAATAAATAAAAACTGAGGCATGAGCTCTAACAATCATGTATTAGTGAAAGTTGCTTATTCTGCACAGCGAAGTTAAATTAAGTTTAGTAGTTTAGTTTTCTCAACTAAACTCATTCAAAGCACAGAAGCCCTTACGAGTGGTGGATTATTAGTAAATTAGGAATTACTGAATGTTTTCAAACAGATTAATGATTTATTCCTACTATATGTTTTAATCTCATTACATTCAGTTTGCTAATRTCTACGTTATCTGTGTTTAGTATCTGTGTCAAACAGCTGAGGGCCTACCTGGGGGAAGCTACACTGATCATCCAGTATGCGCAGTATCCCATGAGGCTTTGCTGCAATGAGGTCCAGACACTCCTGGTTGTTGTTGAAGAGCTGTGGCTGCCATCCAATTTGCTCCCGCATGTACTCCTCCTACAGAACAACGTTTCGCACATGACTGCAAAGTTCATGGGATGAATAAAACTAATGCAAACTATTTAGTGTTTCCAATTTCAAAAATACTTAAAGGGGCAATATTATGTGTTTCTCAGGCATATATTTAAATTATATATCATAATAAAGTAACCATGTCACCTTCAGTTGTTATTAAAATGTTGTTTATACTGTATGTTTAAATAGAAAATAAACTTGACTTCTCATCAGATCTGCTTCTAAAAGCCTTTAAATTAGCCTCTGTCTCTTTAAAGTGCCCGTGACATCAATTTTTTTGTAATAATACAAAGGCATTTTTGGAAAGATGACATTAAGAACATATGACAAAATAATTTTCATGCTGCTGAGATGAACAGTTGTTGAGACATTTGCACGTGAAGTAACAGGAAGTGATGTCAAAGGGGAATGTCTGCAGGAAAACAGAGCTAAGCTAAAATGCTCAACAGCCCAGACTGTGGAGAGGAATCTGAGGTTTTAGATTATTTTGAGTCGCTATCAGACAGAAATAAAAAACAGAGTCAGAGTTCAAATCATATAACAATGTTTCAATAAACAAAGACCAGTGAGTTATTTTTCTTAAAGGAGTTCCCCTTTGATGTCACTTCCTGTTTCCCTTTTGCCAAGCCAAGTYCAAAAGAAAATAGGTCAGTTGTGTCCAAACGGGTGAAATAATGTGTGGTATGCCAAGTTTCTTAAATAGAACAAAGTTTTCTTTAACTTTTTGTATCTGAAGGATAAGCATGTCACAGGCACTTTAAGAACCTCCTTCCACTTCTGTCCCACCCATTTCAGCACAACTCGGGTGTGTGTGTGTGTGCTCTGTGGTGAAGAAGATCGGCTTGGAGACACAGCCCAGAGGAGGAGCTGATCCCAAAAGACGGTTCTATCACCCACTTCAGATGTTATCATCCATTAAATGGACATTATTAGTCATTATCAGTCCCATGGAATGGCTTCAGACTGTCCCGACTGTGCCGCCTAGTGGGTTCTCCGTCCCATAGAATGGCTTCAGACTTTCAGCTGGTTAGTATGAGGCATAAAACCACTAAGGTTTTTTTTAAATGCAATCTGGTTAATATGAGGCATAAAACCACTAAGGTTTTCATGTAATCTGGTTAATATGAGGCACAAAGCCACTAAGGTTAATTTTAGAGAAAATGACATGGGCTACGATAAAGTAGACCAGACTCCAGCAGTAGCAGATTGTTGCATTCCAACGTAAATGGCACTGGTTACCCACTACGAGACACTGTCGGGACAGTCTGAAGCCATTCTATGGGACTGATAACCTGCTAGACGGCACAGTCGTGACAGTCTGAATCCATGGGACTGATAACCACTAATGACTGATAACATCCGAACCGGCTGGTTCTAGTCCCATCTGGTTGTTTTTGCTCCTCTGCCTGGCTGCCTCAGGACACAACATGATTTCTCAAACATGCATGAACGAGTCAAAGCAAGACTCTGGGCATGTTTTTGAACAGAGGATAACATTATAACATGAAATAAAACTCAAAGAAGTTGATTTTACATGATATTGCCCCTTTCGCATGAGAATTGAGTCACAAGCCAAACTGTGTGTATTGATGACTTTCTTTAACCCTTTTTTAAGCTTTTCAAGTGACTACCACTTGACTGAGTCATTGCATTACCTTCCTTTGTGTTTTTTAGCCTTTTGGTTATAGGTTTGCCATGAAGATAAGCATTTATAGAGGTGTGTCGTTTCAAGCGTTGATTCATAGTGTATAAAAAGCTATTCATATGTATGAAAGTCTAAATTCGTGGCTTCCCTAACCTGCTCCTCCTGGAAGATGACCCTGTTAAAGTAGAACTGCAAAGTTTCGTTCGCATARTTGATGCACAGCTGCTCAAAACTGTTCACTTGTAGCTCCTGATGGTTGACAACAAAAGAGAAAAGACATTGGGGCACGTTCGTTAACAGCAGTCAGCTCAGACACACCGCTGGAGCAAACATTAGAGATTTCTTTTCCGTGTGACCTCAAATCCATATATGTCCAACACGGAGATAGAGAGGGCTTCGCTGCGAGGGTAGACGCGTCCGTTGATGCGCTCTGTCAGCCAACTGAACAGCAGCGAGTACAGGATCTTGGCAACAGCATCTCTGTGAGAAACACACAATAAGGTTTCTATGGAAACAGAAAAGTCGGTTCCTATGGAAACAGAAGACATCTGAAAAATCTCCCTCCAAGCCCTGACGTCCTTTGTCCTCACATGCCTCTGCCAAAGAGTGGAAAAGAATATCAAAGAGTCTTCGCTCTGCCTTCTGTAGTCTCCTGGTATGTTTTATCAGAGGGGTTAAAAAGAGACTGAGAACATCAAAAGCCTCAAAACGAGTCAGTCAAACAGGCTTCTGTTGCAAGTTTTTCCAAAAGGAAACAGATGCAATCTAACTGATCCTTTCCTAAGCCTTTTCTCCACTCACTCACCTGGCATCCAAAGCACTCTCCACAGTCAGTGGAGTGTAGATCTTCTCCGTTGCTGCATCCTGTGGGAGGGGTGTCAAACACATCAGATATCTGACAACACACATTTTGTCGTGTAACAACAATCATCTGAAGTGGTTATTGTAATGAAAAGCAACGGGAGGACAACTCACTGTCATTTTGTAAGTGACAGATTTCTGCAGGCTCTCGGGGGAGACCTGCAGCAGCTCAGCTACAACCCTGAGTTCATGAGTGCTCACCACCGATGCAGCCTCCTGGGCCTCAGCCTGCAGGAACCACACACACACACACACACACACACACACACACACACACACACAC